TTTCATGTTGGCCTGTGCTCCTTGGCTTCGCTGTTCTTGTTCAGGAGGAGCGTATGCCAGAGCTGCCACAGACCCTTTGCGGCCCCTGAACTGCTGGTCTGGAGGTGTCTGAGAACAGCAGCTCCTCTCTTGTTATCTCCCTAGTGACAGTGATAGAAGTGCTGCAAAGGGAGAAGAGACAGAAGGAGAAGACCGTGCCTCTTGGCCAAGCTGTGGTGGACCTTCTACCTCTGCTGCAAGGTACAATGTGGACTTCCACAGCCTCCCTGGCACTTTTTGGTTTTTGCTTAGGGACCCCTGGCTATCTCTTACCTCCTTTTGACAAAATACACTTCCTAGCTTCTGTAAGAAGCTGGGTCTGGGGGAAGAGGGGGCGACATCAGTAGCTCAGCGTTTGGCCATGATTTCTCTACAGAGGGTCTCACTTGACGCTGTTCTCATTCCTGTCTCTTCCCAGGCCAGTGTTCGTTGAAGGTCTCAGCTCCTTTGTATGCAGTGCCTACCTCGCCATTAGAGAGCCTTCACCCGGGGGCCAAGGTATGTGGAATTTGGAACTGTTCCTTCGCTCGTTCAGCTCTCTGCTGCTTTTTAATGGGAAGGCGAGCATGACTCAGCCACCGAGCTCATCACCGGTATGTTACAGCCCTATATGTTACAAGCTTGGAGGCCTTTCCTGCTCCCATTGACGTCTGTCCCTCGTTGCCTGTGATAGGTGAGGTCGTGCTAGGAAACGTTAATGTGTGCAGCTACCAAATGGCTCTGGGGAAGATACTCGAGATGGAAAGCACAGCGCTGAAAAAACCGGGAACGGGCAAAGGCAGGATTACCTGCCCAATTTTATTAGTCTTCCTTTCTGCAGATAAAGTGTCCCAGGGTCCATTATTGTACAAGCTCTGACTGCCTTTCCTGCAAGGTCCTTAGTCATTCAGCCGATTGAAAAGTATGCGGTGGATAAAGCAGGGAATGAAGTACGAGACTGGGAAAACGTGTCTAATTTTGCTCCCGCCTGCGGTTAGCACCGCGGGTGAATTGGAGGGGCGGAGATTGCATTAACTTTTCTGTATTTAAGAGGTGTTACATAGTAAGCAAGGCAGGGGGGCAGTCATTAGGGAGGAGATAATAAACACTGCCCAGCTGGGTTTTTGTTGCACACCATCCATCCAGGGCTGGGACAGGTAATTAAAGACTGCACGCAGCGTGTGGAGATAGGGCACAGTCAAAGTGTGGCCCCAGCTTGGCATGCTCTAAATCACCAGGGAAAAATCATTATTTTCCATCCCTGATCTCTGTGGCTTGCTTTAGGAGACCCTGACTTCCTCTCCCTGGCTCATTTGAGGAGACCCTTGGGGCATATGCCATGCCTCAAGCAGGCTCCGATTTAAACAAACAAATATCACAACTTGGACCAATTGATCATGAAGTTCCTTTCCTGTGCTGATCTGTTTTCTTTTACACCTGAGGTGAGGAATCAGGTAACATTATACATTCTGGCCTTGGGTTTTTGCTTGCTTCTCCCTCGAAAGCAGGAAAGTTATAATTGTCTAGTTACTGGCTCTACTTTGTCCTTGTTTCACAGGGTAGCCTGGAAGTGACAGTGTGCACCAAAGAGCCCCTGCTTTCTGCAACGCAGCTTGCAAATGGCAACTTCCTGAGTGTCACGCTGGAGGCGGCTTATTCTGTCCCTGAAGCGTTTGCTCCTGCTGGACCCCTGCAAAACTACATGGCTTGCTTGCAAGTCCCAGCAGCTGGGGAGGTGAGGATCGGGCCGGGCATGGTGAGAGGGGTTTTGGCTGCCACAATGTGGATTTTTCTCCCACACCATGCACTGTGGAACAAGTGTCCAGGCCCGTGGGGTCTCCAGCTCCTGTGCTTGTGCAACAGCAACTGATGTGGCGGGTGCTTGGGGTCTCTGTGGCCTTGACGTTTTTCTTAAACACAAATGAAGGTCTGGGTTGAAACAAGCAGGGTTTTTTCCACATGGCTATTTATTTTTGTCTCCAGTCTTTGTATGCGTGTGGTGGAGCGTGGTTCCCAAGCCAGGCCTCTACGCTGCTGCTTTGCTTTGTTAGACCCCAGCTCGGAGCAGCTGGCACTTGCTTCTGCTCCTGCTGGAAGCACAAGCCTTTTCATTCTCGTGTCTCTCCAGAAGGAATTCCCCTTGCTCTTCAAGAACGGCACCCTGAAGCTTGCTGGTGAAAAAGAGCCGTTGCCCCGGCCCAAGAAATGGCCCCTTGCTAACATCATGGCCCCTGGAGCTCTGAACATCCCCAACTCCTTCATTGTTGGGGGGCCCTATGAGGATGAGGATGGAGAGCTCAACAAAAGAGAGGTGAGGAAGGACGGGCAGTGTCGTGGCTGGAAAAGAACCAGCAGGTCTCACTGAAGGGACTGAGAAAGACCTGCAGAGACTCGTCATGGGAGGAAGGCGGGTGGTCAGTCCTCTGCGCAGTGTCCGGGCACGGAGATGGTTCCCCTGGGAGAGCGGGCGTGCTGACTCACTGCAGGAGAGGTCCCTAGGGTGCACGTGGCAGGTCTGGTCCCCAGAGAGCTGCCCAGCTGCTGGGCTTGGAGCTGTCTTACCTCCTTGTGAGCCAGGCTCTTAATACTGATGGGCTCTGGTGCGTGCAGGAAGGGCTCCTGACTTACTCTGCTAGGGTGGCCTGGGCACGGTGAGTTGGACACCTCCCTGTCTGACTCACATTCCCTCCCAGGGAACGTTTTGGGGGATGATTTGGGGATGGTTCAGGCTGTGGAGATTGCTGTCCTGACTCTGACTGCACACTCTTTTTCAAAGGACAGGGAATTTAGGATCCAAGCAGAAAGCATGAAGAGAATCGTGTGGGACATGGAAAGGCGCTGTTACCTGGATCCCGCTGCAATAGTCATGTAAGGGACCTAAGAACCTCCCTTCTGGGGAGAAACTAGCCCAGAACGCGCTCAGCTGAGGGACCTAAGGCAGGGAGCAGCAGCGTGCAGGTGCTCTCAGACCTCTTCTGTGGCCAAACCATGGCTCTGCCTCGCCTCCCATGGCTCCTGTGGCTGTCACTTGGCCAAAGGTGTTCCCTGGACAAGGGAGCAGATCCCTGCTTTCACTTGCTGGCAACAGCTTCGTTCTGCTGTGGTGGAAGGAGATGATGACCTGGCTGTAGCTGCTGTCTCCAGGATGTCCACGCTCACTTGTGCTGCCAGCAACTGGCGCTGGTGACCGTTCCCTTCGTGGTTTGAAGGGAGGGGCAGCAGAGTTATGGTGAACAGACATGGAGCAGGGTGGCCCACACACCTCTCGTCTGAGCTGCTGAATTCCCGATACATCAAACTCCTTTCGCTCCATGCAGGCACTCTTCGTTTGCTTTTTTATTGTATAAAGATCAGGATGAGTATCCCATTTCTCTTTGAATCCCGCTACGTTCTTGGCTTCAGCTGCATCATGGCTGTGAGTTTTACAGCCAATTTACTCCTCGTGTGGAAACACTCCCTTCTATCTGGTTTGATTTTTAATTATTTTTTTCCCCCTACACTTTCATCAGCCTGCCTGCTGGTTCCAGAGTTACCGGGCGCATTGAATGGGAGCTCAGGGTCCGCTTGCTCTGTGCAATTCAGGATTTATACCAAAGTTAATCATGTTCCTTCTTACTCGCTTCATTTCTGAAGTAACCAGGGGAGAGACAAAACCTAGTGCATCGCTCTCACAACTGTTTTATAGCTGGTTGTGCCATAAATGCACACAGTGGCGGGTGAAGAAGAAAATGTACCGAGCCTGCCTGAAAGCCCACGCATTCCAGTGGCCTGAGGGCGCTTTCTGTGTCTCACCAGAGCGGGTCGGAGCAAACCCAAGGGGGGAGGATGTTTTGGGGCTGCTGGGGCAGAAAAGGAGGGCGGTGTGGCCCTCCAGCGTGGTTTCTGCGTCTTCTCAGTGCCCCCTTTTGTGTTCAGCCTGCAGAAGCGCATTGCGGAGTGCCGGTACTGGCCCGTGGAGGTCTGCAGGATGTCTGTGGCCTCACCCAGCAAAGGGAAAACCAGCAAAGCTGACAAGGTAAAAGCGGGGAGGGATTTGTCGCTCTGGCTTGCAGAGCGGCATTGCGTTATCAAGCATTTTCCTTTCGATGCCTTTGTAATACCAAAACCAGCCTCGAACCAGCCAAAGCGAGTCAGGGAGCTAGAGGCTTTGTAAAGGGATTAATCAGCCTTATAGAGCTATTAAATAGACAAAAGATAATATTTTTTTCTTATAGCATGCAGAGCTCTCGCTGATGGTCCGCGGTAGCTTGGTGGAAAGGGGTCAGGGAGGGGTTGCTGTTTGAGAATTAAGGTAATGCGCTGAACTTATCTTCGGCCAATGGAGTTTTGGAACATCTTGAAGAAATTCATGCCTCCTTTCTCGGACTGTAAAGAAGTTATGCTTTTGCACCGAAACTGGGGTGGTTTAGCAAAGAAAACAGCCCCGTAGCTAATGGTTCTGTTCCTGGCAGCTGGTCGTGTGACAGCTCCTAAGCTGTTCCAGGGCAAAGTCATATAAGTTGGTATAAATCCCTTTCAGCGCTCGCTGTGCCAGGATTTTGCAGCTCTGACAGAACTCCTTCCCCCTTCCCCTCACCAGTTTGCTGCTAGCCCGCACTCTCAGACCTCCTTAGCTACCTGATTTCTGTCCAACCCGAGATGCACGGCTCTCATAGGGTCGCTTGGATTTCTGCCTATGTGGTTGGTCATTTTGCAGCTGTATCTCAAAAAGACCATCCTGAGGAATGGCACAGTGTGGCCCCCAGAGAGAAAAGCTGCCCTGCAGAGATTGGGATAAAATTGATATTCTACATATTGAATGACTCCGGTGTTTTCATCCAGGTCGTCTCGGCTGTGTGCCAGTGACAGAGAGCCGCTGGCTCATCAGGTGCATCAGTTTGCTGTGTGGCCTCTTCTTAATGGGACCAGTGACCTTGTTTCCTTAAAGAGAATAACAATCTGTTCGGTATCTCAGTCCCTTGCTCTGCATTTCCAGGGAGACGAGGACAAGCAGATTTTCTTCCACGGCGTGGCGTATGTCAACATGGTGCCTTTGCTGTGCCCCGGTGTGAAGCAGATCCGAGGCGCTTTTCGTGTCTTTAGCTACCAAGACAGCGAGGTGTTCGAGAAGGTGAGAGCAGACCGGCCAGCCAGGCTCCGCTCCAGCTCTGCAGCCGTGTTTGCACAGGGTGGGATTGGGAGCAGGCAACGTGGGACTCGGAGGCTGGCTCTGAAACTTCACTGCTCTTCTGGTGATAGAGAAAAATAATGAGACAAGCTTTTGGGTGCAGGCTTCTCAAAGGCGGGGGATTTCTGGGTGTGAGCAGATTTGGGGGCTGAGAGAGGCTCTGAATCTCACTCTGCTCTCTTCTCTGCCAGCAGCTGAGCAGGGAGAGCTGTAAGAGTGCTCCTCTCTCCCCAGCCTGAAACACAGGCATTGCTGGGAAGAGCAAACAGTGGCTCTAAAAGGATAGCGTTACCCCAGGCAACAGCCAAAAAAGCTGTCACTGGAGCTCTTCCAGCTGTAGCTCACGGAGGTTTATTTGTCTTTGCGTTTCTCCCTGCTCTGTTACTAAGAGTGACAGTTACATCTCCATTTCCCCACAGTATTCCTGGAACAGACCTGAGCTTGTTTCAGGAGGGCAGATGCACAGCCTGGTTTTTCTGTCCGCGTGGTGCTGCTGTCCAGGCCGCAGGAGCCGGGTGAATTCCAGCCCTTCTCCCTGCCTCCGTGCTCCTGCTGGCTGTGGCGAAGCAGGGCTTGGCACACAGCTGTTTGCTGGTCTCTGCTTTGCCACCGTGATGAGTGGCCTCTTGGCTGCATGGTGCTCCCTGTCCTGTGGCATTTATCTGTCACGAGTGAAGTGACACATGCTCTCTCTGGTGTTCTCATTCCCTGGTTTTGGGGATGCTTTGGGCTGCTCCTTGGTCTTGGTCTAGACGGTCTCAGGACAACAGCTGCTCCATCCTCTCCCCAGCATCCCTTCAGTTCTTGCTGGCCCGTGTAAAGTGATGGCTGGGAGGGAAAGGCCTGTCCAGGTGGTCAGGCAGCGTGTAAACAGCCAGTCTGAAAAACCTGCTCCTTGCAATTCACTGACGTGTGTCAGGGAAGCTGCTTCACACCAGAAGGGGAGCCGGGAGCCGAGAGTCATAACCGGGCAGGCAGGAGCACCCCAACAATTGCAGAGAAGACTTGGTCAGGGCAGCCAGCTTCATCTAACAGTCCACATCACCGGGCAAGTCCATAGCCATGAGGCAGATCCAGGATCAAGCCAGGAATTCAGCCAGGACAGCATGGGCCTGGGTTGTAGCATATCTACTGCATAGCTCCTTGAAGAGTCAACGGCCAGTGAAAATGCAGCTCCTGAGAAGACAGGGAGACCCTCCTGAGGCTTTCTCAGGCAGCTTGTTCATAGTCTAACCTGAGGCTTCACAACTACATGGTATCAGAGCTGGCCTTGAACGCTGGCAGCTGAACTTGTAGGAGGGGAGGACGAGGTTGCACAGCTTTCTAATGCGTTTAGGACCCTGACAATGCATTTTGCAATGTGAGAGGTTAAGCCAAAAGGGTGGGCAAGCCTAGTTTGTTCCTTGATTCCCTCTGTTCCCTCTTTTTTTCAGACCAAAAGTCAGCACAGTGTTTTCCGGGATCTCAGGACGCAGCTCAGTCTGACTGAGGAAGGGTTGTGGACCCCAGGAATCAGCACTCCCAGAGCTGTTCCCAGGAAGACTCAGAAGGAAGACAAAGAGAAAACCACCAAAGATAAAGATTCCAACAGAAGGGTAAGGTCTAGAGAGGCATATTGCAACACCGTCGCTCCTTTTCCCCACCAGAAGTAGCTGGGGCATGCAGAAACCAGAGACTGATGCTCTGTTGCCTCAGCCAATGGAGAGATTCTCATTATCTTGACATTTTAGTACATGCTGCCTGAACAAATGAACAGCTCACATCCTGAACTTGCGAAGATGTGACGTTTACTGAACCCGAAACAAGAAGCATCTTTTCTTTTTCCTTAATAGGTGTCCAATGCACTCAAGATCCAGTCGTCAGATGCCACTGTAGAAGCTGAAAATGTCACACACCCCAGCCTTGACGGACAGGTAATTAGGTACCTCCAAAGAGAAGGGAAGACTGCTAGACCGTCACTCTGCCAGTGTCTCACACCTTTCACGCAATTAAACGCTTCAAGAGCGAGTTGAACGGGGAATGTTTTACGTAGATGCTGTCCTGGAGTTCTTCCAGTGACGTCCAGCTGGAGGGCAGTCTAGCATTGGGCTAGAAGGTCTCTGTAAATAATCAGGCATTTATTTAAAAGGGTTCCTTCATGTTTTGGCTTCTTCCTCAAAACATCTAGAATGCATATGCATTCTGCAAGCGGATTGATTATCTGGGCTTTCTCCATTTTCCTAGATTGATTTCTCGAGATGAATTTTGCTGCTGTAAATCACTCTGAGGTCGGGTTATGAAACAAGCTGTTTCTCTGCAGTGTGAGGAGAATTTGCCGGAGATCTGTAGCTATGTCTGTGGTCTTTCATCACACTGGTAACTGCTCTAGACAGCAGGACATTGAGAGAGCAATGTTTATCTTCACAGCAATACATTGAAGCAGGGACATTCCTGGTGATGGAGATAAAGCTGGACAAGGCCTTGGTACCAAAGCGATTGCGAGAGGAGCTCACCAGACGGTGCGTAAAGACGTGCTGTAACTCTGGGGCTGACAGCTCATTTCTGCAGGATAGAAACAGGGCTGTATGGTGAGCCACCCCCTTGGAGGGCTCTCTGAGGACCAACCGAGGGCCTGAGCCAAAGCCCACTGGAATCAGGGGGAGGATTTGGCCAGACTGCGTAAGAGATGGCATCTGGTGTGTTCGGAAAACACTTGCGTTCATCTGAGCTGGCATCTCCCTGCCATTCCTCACAAAAAGAGAGACACCAGAGCAGCACAACAGTGTCTGCGTTCCCGTCCAGGCTTTGTTTCCCATTAATCCCTGTGGGTTTGCCTCTTGCATGTGATGTTCAGCTGCTTGGTCAGGACTGGCCACCATCACAGACCGCCCTGGGTAGCACTGATCTAAGTTCGCCACAGCATTCTATCATTTTTTTTTTTTTTCCTTTTTGGAAGTTTTCTCACAATCTTCTGCCCGTTCCTCAGCTCTTACATTAGTTTTCGTGTCGTTCTGCTGTAGAGCTGCTCTCTCATCTCTGCTGCTTCGAGTCTTCCACTGTGTGTTTGATTTGAGGCAGTTTCATCCTGTCCAGTGGTGGCCCTGCTGTGTTATGGTCTAGGAAAGGCCTAGCATGTATAATTTATTAAATAAAAAAGAGAAAATGCAGCAAACGAATAAAGTATAACAAGTGGAGGCGGTGTGTCTCTCTCAAACAGAAATACAAGCAGCAGCTGTTCTTTGAAGGGAAAGTATGTATGTTGTCTTCTGTTCTGCCTGCTGTCTTCTAGGAAGAACAGGCTGAGGAAGGTGACCTCCCCTTAGAACAGACCTCTTCCTGGCCCTTTTTCTGCCATTTCTGCTCCGCTGCCTCTCATGTGAATTCAGTGTAGTCCCTGCTTGTTCGTCTGCCATGCGCCGCTGCAGATGTCAGGCCTGAAAAATCAGCCCTCCTGAGCCATGGGAAGGGCTCTGTCTTGGGGAGCTCCAGCTGATGCCACGTCCATGTGTCCTAGCAGACGACAGCCACAGTGGCTCTTTATCTGGAAGGATGTTTAAATACGTATCTTAGTAGCAACCCGTAGCTCTCTTTCTTGGGCTCCATCCAAAATCCTCTGTCAGCCTCCGCCTGGCCCTCTTCGCTCACTCACTTTCCCCAGGTTGTTGACTTTTCTTTTTCTCATCTGAAAGTGAAGCAGTTTGGTTTTCATCTGTACCACTGGCGGAGGGAACACATCCCAGTGCTGGGTGCTGTTCTGAGGCTGGGCGGGGGTGGGACTGTGAGCGTGGGAGCTGCATGACTCCCTTGTTTGGCCTTTGTGGCTTCCCAAGGAGCGGCAACGGGTCTTTAGCCACTGAGGCCCCGGCAGTAGTCCCCACAGCAGAGAGTGTGAGAGGGGTTTGCTTTGGTGGGCTGGATTGTGTTCTAGGGACCGACGGTGTTTTGGCACCAGCAAGCAGGAAATCTTGATAAAAATCCCAATGAATGCAGGCTGCTTCGACACCAAGGATTTTAATAAAATGTTAGTAAAAGTTCTGTTAATCCTAAGGGCTTTTGAGCCACGTTTGAAAGGTCTTTGTAGTGGTACAAACCAGGGTGGAGCGGTGTCTAGGAGTCAATGCATGGCCAAGGGATGAGGTGCCACAGCCGCCCCGTGCGATGGCGGGAACTGATGGATCAGGTGGCCCAGGGGTTTCCAGTGATGAAATTCTCCAGGGCTCTCCCGAGGTTGGTGCCTTCCAGCTGTTCTGGCAGACCCAGGAGGCTGTGAGTTAAAGATCTGCTTCTCTAGGAGGGTGTTTTTGATGGCTAGCAATCACAAATGTTAACCCTATGATGATGAGCTACAAGCATTGAATGTAGGTGCCTGGCCTTCGCAGTTCATTCTTGCTCTGAGGCTTCAGTTTCCCCCACAGGTCCCTGTGAGGTGCCTCAAGGATACGACGACAGGTTGGAGCCCTTGCACTACCGCCTGCCTGCGCCCAAGAAGAGCCAACCTTGCTGGTGGTGGACCTGACTGATCTCTTCTGTCCTCTCATTGACAGGGTCAAGCAGATGATTCCTCCTCGCCCTCCACTGCCTTCCCGGACTGCAGGAGCTAAGAAGGTATGTGCAAGAGCCCGTGGCCTTGACACCATTCTGCCACCTCATCCTGCCCTCATCCCTCTCACACAGGAGAATCTTCACTCTCAATCTCAGCCCCCAGCAAAATGTAGATGAGGTTTGAAGAAGAAATACACAGAAAAAAAAAACCCTGGATGTGTTATCTTTGCAGTAGTGTGCCTTGGGAAATCATTCCTGGGCTGCCTCACTCATGTTGGCAGCCCATACGAAGGAGAGAGGTGTAGCAAAGGCAGGGAAGGCAGCAGTGTGGGGGTGTTTGGAAGGAAACAGGGTGCTGGGGAAAGAGCAGAACCAGAACTTTGTTTACCCCGGGCAGTCCCAACAGTGTCTTGTTGCGAACTTAGCCCGTGTGCTTCCTCAGACCCAGACAAACGTGGACAGAATCAGCCCCAAGGACTCTCAGATCACCCAGAATTTTTGAGGACTTTTGTGTCTGGGACATTGTCAGGAAATGGTCTGAGAGCGCTGGCTCGTCTTCTGCAGGTACAGAGCAGCCACCGAAGGAGAGTGTCCTCGGGTGGCCCCTGGTCGATCGTGAATTCAAAGCAACAGCGGGGGAAGAAGCAGCACTTCAATAACTGACCCCGGTGCTGCTGCAGAATTGATTTGTGCTGGACTGTCTGGAGTGCACAGAGCAATCCATGTTGATTATTGCAGGACGTGGAAGCTTTTGCCACTGAGATTATGGAGATTACAGACTCTGCTGAAGAGGGCTGGCCCACGGGTTTAAAAGGCTCCCAGCAAATGAGATATATTTTACTTACAGCCAATTATACTGCTACAGAAGAGACAACAATGACTGAAATACTGGGTTCTGATTGAAAAACACAGCAGGAGCAATATCTAATTATGAAGGAGCCCTTTCGTATTTACATGTCAATATTTTCACAGCCCCCAGGCGTGGACAGGAAAGGATGTGCGACAGACTCATTGAGGCTTGAGTCAGGTGGAGTTTAGGGGAGGCGTGGGCTCTGGCAAATAAAATACATTTCAAGGTTGATGGCGTAAGTGAAGTTTGGTTCCTTATTTATTTCCTAGGCCGTGGAAGATTATCACAACCGTGTCACAAGCATTGCTGTTGCCATCCTAAGTGAATACCATGAGCTGTTTGGGAAGCGGCTGCCTGACCAGGGAGCGATAGACCACCAAACCCTGGAGGAACAGAAGCGTCAGCTCAACTTCGAGCTCAATAGCTCTGGAAAATATTTTGCTTTTAAGGAACAGCTAAAGGTGAAGTGTCCATTTGTGCTTTTCTCTTCCCTACTTTTTTGTCCTGGCACTTTCTCAGTGAGGAACGGGGTGATGTGTTCCTCCAGAATCCCTTCCTGCCACCCAGGGCTGTTGCAGTGGGTGTAGCAGGGGACAGGTTTTCCCTCTGATGGAGCAGGTACCAAAGCCACTTTGGTCACCCACCAGGAGAACCGTTCCTGTCAACGGGGGGAGGCTCCAAAACTGGTCACATCCATTTGCCCCATGCTCATAGCTTGAGGAAGGCAAAGCTGGCGGTTCCTGCACGCTCACAGTCCACCCTGGCAAAAAAAGAGCATTCCCCTCTGTCAGCTGGTCAACCTTCATCACACTCTGCCCAGAGACCCCCTCTCCCTGTGCCGAGGGGATGAGCCTTCCCATGTGTTGTCCCTAAAAGGGCACCAGTGTGTCAGGGACAGCCAGGGCTGGGAGGTGGGAAAGGAATTCACCCCTGCTTGTTTTTTTTACTTTTATCAGTGCTAGACTGAATTTCTTCCTCAGGACTAAGTTGGAGCTTCAGGAAAAGATCAGTGTGTTCTGGCTCTGTGTGATTATGAGGCTGGTGGGGGGCACAGGGGGGACCTGCCTTGTGCAACAGCTGCATGTCTCCACAGTATGCTGTTGTGAAGATTGTGAGGGAGAAATACCTGAAGACCACAGCGTTTGAGACCCAGGAGCAGTTCCAGGCATTTCTCAGTGAGCTCTATGTGTACCTCGTGGACGAGATGCACATTGCCCTGAACCAGGTGAGGAGAAACCTCGGTGACTTGGGACACAACTTCACTGGGAATCCAGGGCTGGACACTGTGGAGTGAAGGCAGGGGGACTTTTGCCTTCAGGACAGAAGCAGGCTCATGCTTTCTTTTGCTGCAGTTACCACTGTGGGCCCCAAGCCACGCTCAGAGGCAGGGTCTGGTGCATCTGTATCCCACTGCCACAAAACCCTGATGGTGGGATGTGTGTGAGATGCCACTAGTACAAGCTGCCATAGCTGGCTCGTGGTGAGGGTGGCTGAGTCAGTGCCATCTGCCCCTTACCTGGGCAGAGCACAGCCCTTCCTGCCTAAGCTGGGGTCACCAGCAAGTGACTCACAGAAGTGTGACCTGGTCTTGATCTAGGGGATGCTTTTACTTGTCACAACTGCAAATAATGGCTATTGCCCTGTCACTGCATGGCAGAGGTACCTGGGAATGACAGGAATGTGTCCCACCACAAACAGGAGCTGGGACAGCTTGCCTTTCCAAACCTGCCCAGCCCCAGCCATACCAGATTCAGTGCTGGACTGGGGACTGCTGCTGGACTGGGATCACGTGAACCACTCTTACCCTCCCCCAGGCTAATGCTCTGTCTCTCTCCTTACCAGCTACTGAGCGAGGAAGCCGCTTCTCCTGCCCCTCCGTCCCGCACAACCCAGGAGCAGCTCTGGCTCTTTGCTCGCGAAGCTGAAGTCAGCAAAGACTACAAGCTGGCATCTCTCTACCACCAACAGGTGAAGGAGCTCCAGGTCTTTCCTGCCCATCTCCCGTGTGTCCGGTCTGGCAGCCAGCACACCATCGCAGCGGCGTGGGGCCCGTGTTGCCGACAGCTCAGCCAGCCCTGACTGTTTTGTAGGGAGGAAGGAGGTGAACAGTGCCCAGGATACTCAGGCTGAATGTGTGAGGGATTTTCTAGGGAGATGCTGCTCTCTGGAGGATGTGAGGCAGAGCCTGGCCAGGTCACTGAGGACTTCAGCCTCCAGGCCAGGGGAAATGGGGTGAGCTGGCCCAAAAGGTGTGCTGGGTCAGTACTGGGGAAACTGGGCCCTCTAACAGGAGGCTAGGAGGACATCAGCTGAAGCTGGAGGACGTCTATTAAGTGAAGGAGGCTTAGAGGAAGCCCAGCACGATCCCAGTTAAGGGAAACCCTAGCATGTGATAGGCGAGGGCTTGATGGTTGCTAAACTGGGCTGGGGTGGCCAGAGGAAAGACGTGGTCATTCCAGAGCAGTGTCCCCAGTCTGCTGTGGGTGCTGAGCATGATTCCAGCAGTCCTTGCTCCAGCGATGATCTCTTTTGTCTAGAGGGTAGCTCAGGACCAGCACAACATCCAGTCCTGGCTGGACTATGGAGCATTCTGCCTCCTGCTCGAGGAAACAACCAAAGCCCAGGAGTGCTTCCAGCAGGCTCTTTCTCTGGACCACCATCACGTCCAAAGGTGCTGTGTGCTCCCAGTGGGTGGGGGTGTCCCCCACACCACTACCTGGGGCCTGCAAGACTAACCTGCCCGACCCTGTCCCTAGCTTGCTGCTCTGTGGGATTGTGGCTGTCATGCTGCAGCACTATGAAGAGGCAGAGGTTTTCTTTGAGGATGCCTGCTGCTTGGAGCCATCCAACATCATAGCCTGGACGCTTTCAGGTACAAAAGCAAGCCAGCCTGTGTGCTCAAGACGCTCCTGTAGAGCCGAGCGTTGCTTCTGCCCCTGTTCCTCTTCTCCCTGCTCTAATCTGAGGGCTAAGGGAAGGATTTTGCTAAATGTCTGCTTATGCTGCTCTTTCTGGCCTCCCATAGGTTTATTTTATGAGCTGCAGAATAATATTATTCAGGCAGAAATGACCTTCCGTGAGGCTAACAAGCTGCTGCAAGCACAGCTCGCCAAGGAGAGGAGCATCCCTGAGGGTGCTGAGGGAGAAGGAGGGGAAAAGCATATTTCTGCTGGATGTGCGAGGTCTCCCAGCCCAGGCCCAGATGAGTGCTTGCCAGGTAATGCCAGCCAAAACCAGGAGGTGCCCTAGCACCAGCAAGGAGGGGGCTTGGAGCAGCATGGGAGATGGCAAACAGTGGAAGGAGAGGAGAAATTCCTAAGCATTTCTAAGAGGAGAAATACAAAGTGTAAAGGAAGGTGATGTGGACTGTGAACTAGAATAGACTGGCCACAAACTACCCCAGCAAGAGACAACAGTGGCAAGTGTGCTGCTTTAAATGAAGAAGCTTTCCGAAAGCAGCACAGCCGATGCCTTGTCTTGCCCACAGTCTAGCAGAGGGACCAGTCTCTGCATTTATTTTTCTGCCCCAGCCCAGTGCCGCTGCTGTACCGATGTGCAGGCAGTGGCCAGGGCAGCTGGAGGAAGGAAATGTGCTTTTTGAGGCTTTGGGAGGGCAGTGCTGCTGCTGGGACAGTCGTACGTTAGGGACGTCCAGGTTTTGTGACAGCTGTTGCTGTGACTTGGAAAGCGTTGCCTCACGCGTTCAAAGGGCAGAACCGCTGCTCGGTGGTGACCCTGACCCGAAGGGTCCTCTGGAGCCTCACTGAGTCCTGCCTCACCCTGAGCCAAGACTTTCTGTCCCCAGTCCGATATCTGGCCAGGCTGCAGGAGATGTTGGCTGGCTTTATTCTGAACGTTATCACCACTCAGTGCAAAGTGCCTCAGGCAGGCAGGCCTCATGTCATATGCCTTTCTCTGCCCCTTCTGATTATGAGAGAAGGGATATCGCCTCCTTTATATCTGTTTCTAGCTTTACCTGGTAATCTTGTACTCAAAACCCCAGGCCCAGGTATTGCATCCTGCGAAATTTCTTCCCAGTTCTGAAAATCTGATAGATCTTTTTGATATCCTCTCTTCCCCATTTCTGTGGAATTGTGCTCCAAACCGTGAAGTTTACGGCAAACTCTGTGTGCCTAATGGTTGTTGGGGGTTTCATTCCAGAGAGGGTTCCGGGTGGCTCAGCTGACGAAGCGCCAGAGGTGGTGGGGCCAGCCCTGGCCTGCGCGGCACCCAGGGAAGAGACGACTGCACCGGAGGCAGCCCCAAAAGGTTCGGGGTTGGGTGCCTGGCCTGTAAGGGAGAGCCCAGCGCTGGGAGATGGCATCGTGCAGTCCATGGGGAGGGGAGTAACTTGGGAGCACTGAGCCGTGGCTATCCCGATGCCAAGGCAAGACAGTGAGGCTTGTTCTCTCTCCCGAGCCGGGGAATCTCCAGGCAAAGCAGGTTCAGCCCAATTTTCAGAGCGGCACATCTCAGGATGGACAGCCAGCGGGTGGATGCAGCTCTCTCCCTCGTTGCCCCCAGCAGCCTTCATCAGCTGCTCGGATGCCTCCCTCCTGAGATGCCAGATCTTAAACTGTCCCTATGGATCTCCTCTGGTTGTGTGTTGTGATCTGCCTCCTCTACAGCTCCACTCCAACAGGTGGCAAAGAGATGGCAGTGCTGGGTGCTTCAGGCCCCGCTGGGTTGGTTTGGGGAGGCAGGGCCCTCACTGTAGTTGACTCTGACAAGCCTCGATCATAAATTCCTACCTTTTCTTCCTCTCAGTTTGGGCTGGAAAATTAGTGGGTCAAGAGTGTTGTTTCTTTTCACGTGTCTTACAAAATTTAAGCCCTTCAGAAAGAAACGCTGAGTTAATCTGTGCTTCAGCCTCCACTGTCACCTCCTCAGTTTTACACTGCATTTCTGGGATTGCTCTGCCCCCACCACAGTCTCAGGCCCTGCTCTTGCTTCAGAAGTAAAAAGCCTGCTTTGGGACTGATGGAGACCTGTCTTTTTACAGCACCATCCCCTGTTTCAAGACTTAGCCAGCCTCCCTGCACAATCTTCATGAAGGCAGTGGAATTCCTGATGAAAGTCAATGCCATCCAGGTCAGCTCAACGGGGTGTGGAGGAGTGGGAAGGGAGGTCTGGTCTCCTTCCCTGGGTTATTACCAAAGAGCTAGCTGGAAGCTCCAGCAAGCCCCCTTCTCGGGCTCAGAGAACAAGCTGTGGCTACCCCAGATGCCAAGCACAAGAGGCAGCAAAGCCACCACTGCCCAGAAATGGGAAACCGGTGGCCAGGCAGAGTGTTCAGACCAAAGTGCTGGTTGTGGACACAGTCACCTCGGGCAGGCGAGGTTCTCGGGGTGCCTCGGCTCAGCGCTGCTGGCTGCGGAGGGACCAGCCAAGTCAGACCTGGTGCAGATGTGCTCTTGTACCTCTGGAGATGAGACGCGTTATTGTGACACCTCCAAGACGCCAGCACTCCTTTCTTGTTTCAGACGCTTGGGTATGTCAGAGTAATGTTTGTGTCACCTGTGGAACGTCCCTATCCCACACAGTTGTCCCTGTGGGATCTCTCTGGCTGCTACGTTATGCTGCCTGCCTTAATTTTACATGGCGGAAAGAGTTGCTTAAAGCAAAATAGAACAGAATAATGGAGGTAAATATTCAAAGGAGGGGGGAAAAAAAATCTCCTGTCTGTTTTCTGTTCATGGAAGTCAAATAGGTGTGAGTCGGTCCTCCTGACATGTCTTTCTGGGGGTGCCCGTGGTTTGCCCGCTCTCCTAACCGCGACGGCGTGCCGTTCCTCCGCAGTTTATTCACATGGCGCTTGCCCATGAGCTGCTGAGCCTTCAGGGAGGTCCCTCCTGTGCGTACTACCTGGCGCTGGCCCAGACTTCCCTGCTGAGGGAAGATTTCTCCAAGTGCGAAGAATGTCTCTGCGAGGCCGTTAGGATCGACTGCATGGTAATCCTGCGTGCGTGCCTGGGGTGCAGCGCGGTGTCCCCAAGCAGGACACTGGCCAAACGCCGCAGCAGACCGCCTGAACCTAGAGCCCATGCTTCATTTCCACTTGAACAAGTCTAACGCCAGTCTGCAGGGGAGGACAATCATAGTTGAGGAACCACATCAGGCTGTGGCTGCAGCACTGCCCTCCTCATTACCCTGCTTATTACTTGCTTCCTGTCATCTCCTGCCCAGACGGGCGGCATTTCTGAGCGAGGACTCCTCTCTCTGCAGCGTCTGCCTTTCTTTTCCCTTTCAATGTGTATA